AAAAAAAAAACAAAAAAAAAACAACATGACAACTTCAGCACGGTTTAAGTTTGTACCCACATTTTGTGGGTCGATTAAGTATTCATATATGCACTCTATTGTTTTTCTAATTGAATATTCATTATTCGCGGCACGAAAAATTTCCGAAAATGTAGCTAGCTTGCACGATCGCAAGCGCTTTGATGTTAGGTGTGATATATTTCTTTTGTTTCCAGTTTCATGCTCGATTGATGTTTTGACACTATTGTTTCGTTAAAATTAACTTTATAATTAAAAGTGGAACGCTGGAACTTTTATCATGCTAAAAGTGTAAGATGATGATGCCATAGCCATTACGTTGCGTAGCAAAAAAATATCGAAGGTTTTCACTCTTAAATCTGTGTTTTCGCTGATCCTTGAAGTAAGGTTTTTTAACTTCGATTTAAGATCTTGAAAACTCGGAATAAAAACAATGCATCTTAATTTAAAAACCAATGCCTTAAATCAAGAGCTGAGTAACAGGCAATCTTGTTTTGAGAAAAAAATTCACAAAATGAGAGGAAGATGTCTCAAAATGAGTTTAGAAAGATCTTTGATTTAAGATCTTAAAAACTCGGAATAAAAACAATGCATCTTAATTTAAGAACCAATGCCTTAAATCAAGAGCAGAGTAACAGGCGATCTTGCTTTGAGAAAAAATTCTCAAAATGAGAGGAAGATGTCTCAAAATGAGTTTAGAAAGAACTTTTGATTTAAGAACTTGAAAACTCGGAATAAAAACAATGCATCTTAATTTAAGAACCAATGCCTTAAATCAAGAGCTGAGTAACAGGCGATTTTACTTTGAGAAAAAAATTCTCAAAATGAGAGGAAGATGTCTAAAAATGAGTTTAAAAAGAACTTTTGATTTAAGATCTTGAAAACTCAGAACAAAAACAATGCATCTTAATTTAAGAACCAATGCCTTAAATCAAGAGCTGAGTAACAGGCGATCTTGCTTTGAGAAAAAAATTCTCAAAATGAGAGGAAGATATCTCAAAATGAGTTTACAAAGAACTTTTGATTTAAGATCTTGAAAACTCGGAATAAAAGCAATGCATCTTAATTCAAGACCCAATGCCTTAAATCAAGAGCTGAGTAACAGGCGATGTTACTTTGAAGGAAAAATTCTCAAAATGAGAGGAAGATATCTCAAAATGAGTTTAGAAAGATCTTTAAGC